GGGGCCGCCGCATCCCTCCGCACATCTTGGTGAACTGGGCGGTGCAGATCGCCCGCGGCATGCTCTACCTGCACGACGAGGCCATCGTCCCCATCCTGCACCGGGACCTCAAGTCGAGCAACAGTGAGTCCCAACCGGGGTGGGAGGGGTGGTGAGGAGGGGCCTTCAGGCCGCCGATGCCGTGGAGGCGGCAGCGAGGGGTTCCCTGGCTCTGTGCCGCGGCCGGGCTGCCCGATGTGTGGCCGTCTGGGCCCGGCGGCGGACTGCTCGCTGAGGAAACGGGCGCCCAGACCTGGACGGGCACGGTGCAGGAGTCCTGTTTCACCGGGAGATGAGTGTCGCAAGTTGGGCAGCCTCTGCCAGAAGCTGGGGCCGACGGCAGGTTGGTTGCCGTGGCTGTGAGCTGGTTACAGACTCGTGAAAAGGTGGGGAGAAAAGGGTTTACCTGCGATGCACGCAAAGTCCTGCCCTCTCAGATGGGAGCTGACTTAGAAGTGAAGTGGGATAAAGTTGTGCACAACCGCAATTGCACATCGACGAGACTTCTTTTACTCTGATGCATTACATAGTTCTAGTTTTTAAAAGTTACACTGAACCAAGTGCCTTGTAAAGGAAAGTTTTAATAAGGGGTATTGCTTCTGTTTCACTGCTGAACAATCATGTTTCTGGTTTTCATTGCATGGATCTAGCACTGCTAAAATTCACTCAGTGAACACAGACAGAAAAGTCACTAGCTTAAGTTTCCACTACTAGCACAGTAGAAACTCTTGTGCATTTGCCAGACTTGCTCTCAGCCGTTGGCATGGGCAAAAGCACCTTAAAAAGTGAGAGAGTTGCTCAATTCGTGCCTAATGGTCCATCTTTCGATACAAGAGCATCTGAGATTTTGGCTGTTTTGTTGGAAGGCTGGCTTACTAGAATAGAGGTGTTTATGACTTTCTGTTATAGTTGTGTTTTGAATTAGTGGCCCCAAAGTGGAAATAATGTGCTTCCATAAATGTCTGAAGCTGCCTCTACTCTCTCCTTTTTGTTCTGAGTGGGCCAAATGTGCAGAAATATGTTACTCTCTTTTCCCAGTTAGGAGTCCTTAAGTAGTCCAGTAGAAATGAAAAAGCTTCATTCACGTTTGAAGCACTTTGTTTAAAAGGCCTTTGCAGTGTGTCTCGAAGGTCATCATGCATGGGTTGTTAAGACAAGGTTCAGTCATGGGACTGTTCCTGAGAATACTTTCACTATTTGTTTGATAAAGAAAGGACCTAGCTCAGCTACGTTTGTGGTTCTGCTTGTAGCACAAGATGATATACTTCTGGAACGTACCTTTAGGGTCATGGCCAACGCCGTAATTTCTAGCAAGTTGTCTGTGCCTTCCTAGCTTGTTGCTGTGTTTAGAGTGAGCTGCTGTAGCGTTGAGTATTTTGTGGCTTTCCTTAGACAAAGTGGTTGCTGCTTGCTAGCTTCCTGCGGTGACTGGCAAAGTCCGTATCTGAAATTAATTCATAACCCTATGGTATAGTGCAAACCTAGAGCTGAGTCAGTGATTGCAGTGAACTGATTATCATTATCATCTCTGTGTGTGTGGATAATGGCAGAGCATTTTTAAAATATCCTTTTGATTATAACCTCAGCATATGTTCCTGTTCACTACTTTTGTTACTTACTCATTTTGCACATACGATTAACTTTAGCTACTTTGTCTCTCACCCATGTTTTTTTAATCTTGGTGATGCTTGAAGACAGCATTGAATATGATAATTAGAATTATGTCTCTTGATCATCCAACTGAATGATAATATTAGAAGACAATAGTGCACTAGCAGTACAATATCCTAGAGTAATTAAGTTCAACGACCTGAATTTAAAACAATGGCAAATCATGACAGTATCTCCTGTTCTGTTAACTCATCTGTTCATCGAAGATTTCACTTTTTTCCTTTACTATAGTCTTTTCCAGTCTTTCACAGTAGGAGTGGAAAGCTGCTGGGGTTGACTGATCGGCTTCCTTGGTGTAAGTAGTAACAATTCAGTAGAGGCAGATAGGGATCTGGCAGCACTCAGTCCTCAACTGCTCCTTGCTGCTTTCCATGGTCTGCTAATGTTGGTGGTTCAGTGCTCTCCATTAAGCAGCTCTAGGTAGTACACCAATATACCAGTTTTAAGTGCTAGCTTAGTCATTTTTGTTAAGAAGGAATTTTTCTTCCTTGGACAGCAAAATTGGAAAAATGCCTGCCTTTAGCACAGCATGGCAAGGAATGATCACTAAACTGTTTCCCTAGCAAATAGGCAGGAACTAATTTTTCCAACCAGGGGAAGGGAGCTCCTTCCACTAGTATGTTTGATCCAGAGAGGATATGTGTCTGGGCTTGTGGTTGGCAGGTGATAGGGAAAGCAAGCATCTCAAAGGCAAGTGTGTTATTTCTCTTCAAGCAATTTTATGGAGTTGGGATCTATAGGACAGCGTATCTAATGTGGTTTCACTGATGCCAAACTGTAATAACTGGAGAGAAGGTGTCACAAACAGAAGAACCATGAGAGCAGCAGTGTTTTGCGAACAGCAATGCGCATGTAGGATTGTATGCACAAGTTTCCATGGGTTCCTTCTGGGAGGTGGGAAAAGGTTTTAGTTTCTGTAAAAGCAAGAAAAGGGAAATAAGTAGATAAGCAAATAATTTCTATGTTGGGAAGAAAAACTAACAAACTTGGTTGTGAGGGCTGAGCAAGGAACTAAGGAGTATCCCTCAAGTTTTGTTAGCCAAGTCTCTTCAGTTCTGGAATCCATGTAAAATTAACTTAATATTTAAAGGTTATTCAGAAGTAGACAAAGGAAAGGTGTAAAGAACACTTCTAGCTTTAGAGATGTGTGATAAATTGAAACATAGTAACCATGGCCTCTAATGTTGAAAATTGTGGGCACTTTGTAAACCTTGTGCAGGTGACATGGTGAGAAGTTTCTCTGGAAGACAACAGGATCTATTTTGAGAAGATCTTCCTCTACTACTTAGGTAGTTCTTATGTTCTCGGATATACTTTATAGATTAAGGAGATAATCTAAAATTAAGGATTAAGAGGTAGATTTGACTTATCTAAAATATGAAGGAAAAAAATGGGAGAAAATTTGAAGTATTTCAAACCGTAATGAATAGTTAAGGAATTCTGAATTAAATGATACTTTGACTGAAAAGTAGCTGTTTTAAAAATTGTGAAAGTACTTAAGCATTCTTAACTTCTTCTCCTGGGTAGAAGCTTAGTCTTGATTAAGTGTGCAGCTAATTACAAAAAAATAAGTTTTACTGAAAATAAAAAACCACCTATTCATCTATAAGACTGGACACTCATCTTCACCTGTGTCTTTTTAGCACACCTCAGCTGTTTTGCTGACTCTTTGAAAGGGCAACTGTTTTTCTCTGGAGGAATCAAATTCCTTTCTTCTGGTCAAGGTCACCCCATTAGTTACGAGACCTGTGGTTATTTAGGTGCTTGGCACAGCCTTTCCTGGTTCTGTTTTTGTGTTCTGAAGAAAGCTAGTTATGTGTTCAGATAGAGTATGCGGGGTTTTTACTTTCTGAAGGATAGTGTAGAGAAAGCAGAGGGTCATGTTTCTGGGATTGATTTCAGACTGTGTGGTACTTCTGCCTTAAAAAAAAATGCACTTTATCTCTAGTGCAGCAGCTTTGTGTACTTGTAGGATACATTACAAAAAGTTCAGAATATCTTGCTTACGGCATAGAGTCATCCATGAATACAAAGCAAAGCACAAAGTTGATTTGGTGCAGATTATGTGTACTGACACAATACTGATAAAGTACTCTATACCCATTTGCTGTAGATGGATATGTGAGTAGGGTTCAGTTTGATATAGCTTTCACCAGCTCCTCTGACATCCCAGGATCCTTTGCAGCCCTCAGCTCTCTGAAGTGTCTTGAGTTTACATTACTTTTTGAAATTGTCAAGAACAGCTTGAGTTTCAAGGATTGTTGAGTAAGGTCATGGACGTGACAGTGCTAATAAGAGCAATACTTGAATTCTGAAGGAATCAAACATACAAGAAAACAGTGAAACAGCAATTGGACAGTCCACTTTAATGTGACATGCTTCAAACTTGTCTCCTGAAAAACAGTCAGAAAATAGAAATAATTTGATTTTAAAAACCTCAAAAGGAAGTGTGATGTGGTTTGACAGAACTGTTGAATCAGTTGCTTTTGATGAGGGAAGGTGTCCTGAAGTTTGAGAAAAGCAAGAACAAACTATCTCTGGTTCTTCGCTCTTACAGGTTATTTGCAGTAGAATTGCTCAATTTACGTTGTTAATGTTGTTACGTAAACGTAACCTTAAGCAGTAAGATGGATAGGTATTTGAGAACTCATAAAAACTACTTTCCCTCTAAGATTTTCACCTAGCAACTTTAGGCTGGTTACTCAGGCAGAGAAAGAGAAAAAAACTAGAGTTAAGCCTATCTGCTATCTCCTGAACTGATTTTATTTAATCTGAAATCATTGGGGTGCATAATTTGTCTCTGTTTTGAGGAGGGAAGACATGCTCACATCACAAGTACAGCTGTAAGGACTGCTTAGATGTTACTGAATGCTTGAAACTTCAGTATCTTTTAGTGTACAGTTACCAAGAAAATAAAAAATAAAATTATATTACAATTGTGTTTGGTACTTCTGAGGGAGAAGAGAGGAGGTGGCTTTTCAGCAGATTTGAGCTTCTGCTTAACTTTCTTTGTCTGGAAATAGAGTTCCAAGATGTCCTCCACTGACAGTGAAAATTGGAGGTTCTGTCAGTAGCATTGTGTCAATTACTGCTCACCTGTTATATTGTACCAAAATTTTAAAAAAATTTTCTACCGCTGTGTATTCTGCATCTCCTTCTCCTTGTGGCACTCTCATTCGTGGGACTTCTGCTCTTGTGTTCCTTTTCATGTCCCCAGTGTCCTTGCTGTCCAAGGCTGCCCACCTCCAACACACGGCGATTTCTGCCGCCTCCTCTAGCAGGCTGCATATGCTATAATTGGTTTGAAACTGCTTGTATTGCCTGGCTAGCTGCTTAAGCTGCTGCTGGCTGGCCTCTCTGGGGCCTGCAGAGGAATGATATTTTTTTCTGACAGAACTAGCTGCAGTTCCCCT